CAAATAGTACCTTGTCCTACCGGCCCATCCCTGTCTAATCTGACCGTTGATCATTTAATCAACGTCCAGATCTCCCTTCCTTAATTAACCCTCGAGACTACCCCCTTCCCCCTCATTTCTCTCTTTCACTCCGCCGTTACACTCTCCCCTCGCCTCTCAAATTGCTTCTGCTAAACCTAAAGCTCTCACCGGCCGTCGACTTGCTGGTAACTATGGTCGGTCTCACCACCCATCCCCAGCCCCCATGGCTCCTTCCCTAGCCCAGGTTATTGCTGCCTTGAGGTCCTCAAAGGAACCAGAGGTGGTTCAACTCACCCCCCATGGTTTTTCATTCCATTCTCAGGCCAATCTTGGCCTGTCCGAGTAAGATCCTGCCATCTCTGGCTAGAACCTGTGGTTTCTAGGCCGATTCTCCTTCTCTTTGGGTTATCTCTCTGAAATGCTAACTATTAGCTCTTGATTTCTTAGATCTGTAATAGATCTGGTTATATTTCGAGTTATTTTGCTGTTTTCCTTAATGATTTTCCGATTTTTCTAAAACGACTCTTCATCTTCAAACCATGGTTTCTTAACCCCTTTTCAAAATGACTTTTCCTTATGATTTTAGTATTAATCTATGATTTTCACTATGTTTAAACGTTTATTTGAGTTTTCTCTTTTTATTTGAGTTATTATGTTAAAAACCCTAAGTTTCTTGGTTTTAATCCTGGATTCTGAGTCTGTTTTATGATAATATGTTCGCTTAATCTGTATATGTTCTTGTTTCTCATGAGCCTTATGATTCTCTTTGGTTTTATCCTATTTTTTTCATCAGTGTCTCTGACTTTTACTTCTTGCGCCTATGTCATGTTTATTCTATTAATTCATGCTATGCTCTATGTGAATCCCTAATTTTGTGTGATTTTACCCTATTTTGCTTATCATGGTTTCTGATTCTTGCCTAGTATGTGTTTATTCCGCTTGTTCTCATAAATTTGCGTCAATTTCTCCTAAATCAGTACTATTTGCTATTTTTGAATCTCTGCGACTGATCCTTCACTGATTTCTTGTGATATTCTCTACTGATTTTAACCTTTAAGATATTTTCTTACCTTAATCTATGGTCGAGCATGCTGTCAACTGATTCTTAAGTATTTTCCTTGATTAGAATCTGCTGAACCTAGTCCCTATTACATGTTGTGTACTTGTACTATGCTGAAAATATTTCTTTATTTCTTATATTCAGCCTTATGTGATTTCCTTCCTTATTTAGTATTTTTCTGTTACCGTTTAAATTTAACTCCTTAATTAAAGGAAGTACTTACACTGATTTGATTCTAATTAGTACATAGTTCCATAATTACTGTTGAACTATGATTCTTGCCTTATTTTCTACCTGTTTTCAAACTATAAGTACCTTGATCTTTCATTAGTAGAGACACGAACACATTAACACTCTTCTGCTCTCTTTTTTCTGGTTACTTGCTATTGTTCTAAGTCAGTCGGCTGCAAGCCAAGGCTGATTACTCTACTCTCTTGCTCCTCACTTTGTGTTTACTACCTTCTTTACCGGTATGTTCTGATTTCAATTCAAGATCCAAAAATAATATGGTCCTTTTATTACTTCAATTCATCCTGTTTCTAGTCTACTTTTACTTATGGTTTTGCTGTGAACCCTGTAGTTGATATGTTTACATTATTAGCATGTTATGTACTCACCTTCCTTAGGATCAGTATGAACATGTTACCCCCCTCTATGTAGTCTGTCTCCATGTGATCTTGCTCTATCTGGTTTCTGGTATGAATCTCCTTGTAAAGTAGTCTGCACTCCTAAACTTGTATGATTCTTGGATTGATTTTAAATTATGTTGATCCTATACTGAACCCCTTAAGCATTGCTGATTCTGTGACTATGTCTAGTTAGTGTTTCTGAGCATATCTGTACCAATTCCAAAAACTTCTGCCTGCTATGTGTTTACCATTATGTGCTTTACCTGTCCCCAATTCCTATTTACCCCTGTGTGAAGGCTTGTGGTGCTAAACCTGTCTTGGTTCTTTGTTCTATGTGTGATGTTGAACCTGTTTTGGTTCTGAGGTTGGTTTGTTGTTTGTTGATTGCCCTACTCTTTTCAAAACTGTCTTATTGAATAACTTCTCTGTTGTTTTACAAAACTATTTTCATGTCTCTTTTCAAATTGTTTTCCTACTTAAACTTTTTTTTTCCAAAACTATGTCAAGCACTCTCACTCTATTCTTAGATCCCTAAGTTCTGCCCCTCTAATGTGTGACAGCTTAGGGATCCCTATGAGATCCCTCTGAACTCTGATACATTAGAGTTGGCCCTTCCACACTGCACTTACTCAAATATGGTTGTGAAATCTGGGTGTGAGCACTGCCCGGGATCCCTTGAGGTCCTTAGGGAACTCTGACACACCCGGATATTGAGAAAGGCTATGAAACAATCTGCGCAGTTGAGGTTTTGGAAATCTGGGCCTACTTGCAGGCTCCCTATAGTGTAACTTCTTATTTTTCTTTATCTATTAATGTAATTCATTCAATGTTGGTTTGTAATATTCATTGTAAACGAATATTGGGGTTGGCTAGTGAAAAAGGAGAGGGTAGCTATACATGTTATCAAAGGGTAGAAAACATGCTTTAGGTTTATATTTTTTCTGTATGTGCATTAGAATTCATGTTTGGGACCAATCCATGCAAAGCATATCATGCATTAGATACCATGCTCCTAGGTTTCATGTATACTGTTTTCAGCATCTCATTTTGACATCCTTATTATCACTTAGAAATCTTGTTTCCAGGATAAACGACAACATTAAAATAAACTGGTACTTATGCATATTTTGAAATCATGCTGTAACCTGCTGTGCATTTTGAAATCCTGCTTTAGGAATTCTGCATATAAATCATTCTGAACCTTATATGTGCATATTAGATACCATGTTTAGGATCTCGTTCATACTCGCTCAACACCTAGTTAAACTACTGATGCATGAAAAAGGATATAAAACAGTCTCACGTCTAATTATCCCGTTTAAATAAAACTGGTAATAATTCTGTATCTTGTAAAACTTAGAACAACATGCTTTAGGTAAAATATCTCCTAGCATGTTTTAATAGTTCTGGTAACAATTGTGCATTATCCCACGCCTAGGCAAGCCTTAGGTAATCAAATTTCTTATAAAACTGGAAATTGCCTCTTTGTGTTTACTACTTAATGGTTAACATGCTTAAAATCAGTAGGCAAACTGATTAGGCCCCTGCTTCTAAGTTTAAAATAAATAAATCTGCATGTCTCTTGTGTTCTGATACTCACCTAGACATTATGTCTTAGGATCCTGTTTAATAATACTGCCCTTGTTTGTGTTTGAGTCGTGCTGTTTACATGTATTATCTGCGGAGGTAAACCTGAGCCTCTTATTTGCTCCTTCCTGCTTTTATTTGCTAAAGTCCTATGTGTCCTTGCTTGTCGCCTTAGTATTTTCTCCTTTAAACCTTAGGGGTCTGTCTAGAACTGCCTATAGGTAGAGGTCCTAATCTCCTCCAGGACCATTAAGAAGGGACGGGTAACAACACGCATAGAAATCGCTAAATAACATTCACTTAATAACCGCTAAGGGGTGGGAAGGGTAGATATGGATATGATGGCTACGCATTAATGTCACGTGTAGCCCCTCATTGAGTAGTGTTTACCGGGCATTGTGTGGGGTGATCCTGTAGGCTAACCAACCTAGGACCCCTCCTTCCCAAATTCCCTTTGTCTAAAACTTTACTCTTTTTTTTATATGTACACAACTTGTTCAAAGCCTCTGTCTTATTATTTGAGTCATACAATGTCCAACATGCTTTATTTGCAATTATGTGTTTCAACTACTTATTTGTTAAATGACTAATTCATAAGTATAAGTTCGACCGTAACCCACCGTTGTGGACCGAGAGGGGTGCCTAACACCTTCCCCTCAAGGTTATTTCGAGCCCTTACCCTAAATCTATGGTAATGCAAACTAGTCTAAGAGTTAACCGCTTTAGGTGCCCTAACGCACCATAATTCGTTAGGTGACGACTCTTCAAATACCCAAATCCCAAAAGAAAATGAGTCGATTCCCCCATGGAATGTCGAAACCCGGACTTTCTCCGTCAGGAGGAAAAAAGGGGGCGCGACACCGAATCCGCTTATCGAGGACGTGCAGGATCACGACCTCAACAAGCGGAGGGACTAACTGTATTGGTCTACATTTGGGTGGCTTGATAACTGCAGATAAACAGGGTCGAGGACGGGGTCGACCACGGCGTAATAACGAAGAGTCGTCTTCAGAAGGATTATCCTAAGGGCGAGCAAATGGAGTAAAGAAGTAACGGTATGATAGATTTAGAAATGGAGATATTCCTTATGTTGTACTTTTTAGGGTTTCTTGGGGATATCCCTTATAAATAGGAAGAGATAGAGAACAAAGAGGCGATCTTCACTTTTTGATAAGATCACATTGTAAAAGGTTGACTATAAAGAATATACAAAAATTGTCTTGTTCGCTGACTATCTTGTGCAAGCTCACGTTGTTTAATCTTTGTTCACAAGTTCCGAAGATTCCTTATCCATCCCCACTTCTCATCCTTCCACGTTGCTATCAAGTGGAAGAATCCTCCAAGTCATATAATATTTGGGTGATAAAATCCCTTTTATTACATTTATTGCCACTGTCTACATTTATTACATGTTCTTATTATACCATTCATGGACAATCATTGAACTGATACTCGATATTCATTATTCTCAAACACTGTCCATACCGCAGATGTCCTTAAGTATTAGATCTAGAATTTATTATGTTTAACTAAGATTCACTCTCTATTTCATTATTAATTAATTTAACAAAAAGCTTGACTCTTTTTGGTCAAACAAATATTTTATAAAGTAGAAGAAAAAGTTGTAATTACCCTTTAGATCAACGCCCAAAAACTTTACGGTATAGGTAAAGAAGATAAAGCATCCCTAAAAATCAATATACAGTATTAATAACGTATACAGACAGAGGGAAATAAAAAAACAAAGTTTTATTTTTCTTCGAGTCGTAAAGAAAGGAATCAGTTGCTCAAAGTAGGTAAAAAGGACTCCGACGGTGGGAATCGCAACCCTAAATCGGCCGATGTCATCATCCGGGCAACAGCAGTTCCGGTACACACAGACGCCGTCGAAAGTTCTTCACCTCCGGAATTTGCCATGGGATTGCAGCGATGAAGAGCTTGTAGAGCTTTGCAAGCCCTTTGGTAAAATTGTCAACACCAAGTGCAACGTCGGGGCCAACCGCAACCAAGCCTTTGTCGAATTCGTAAGTTGTTCGAGTTCATTTCGATTATCGTGATTGGCTGTTCTAGATCGTAGTAAATTCGCCCAAAGGTTTTTTAGATTTTATCTTTGAAATGTGAGTTATTAGAGTTCGATTATTAAATACATCCACGGTTTAAAAGCGCTCTCAGTTTCCATTGGCTGTTCATGGCAGGCTACGTTCCATGTTTAATTCATTAAGAATGATTAGGAGATGGCTGAGTTTTTGAGGTTAGGCTATTTCAGTTCAAACCCTAAACATTGGGTGTGAGCCAATCTTCTATATTAGGGACTGCCCCCTGGCCACTAGATTAGTTGAGGTGTGCTCAAACTTTGTAATGTGGTGAAGCTGTCATAATGAATTTTTAAATTATAGAATCATTAGGAGCTTCCATAATGACTTTGTCAATTGTAATAGTAGAATAAGTAACTGCTGAAATAGGTTAATTACGTTCCTGGATTCCTTTTTATAAAGCAATTTTGGTGTATCCGCTTTCCCTAATGACAGTGTTAGCATGACTTTTGTTATTAGCATCTAATATGCACATTTTGCAACTGCAGGCAGACCTTAATCAGGCAATTAATATGGTTTCATATTATGCCTCGTCTTCAGAGCCTGCTCAAGTTCGTGGCAAGACTGTATACATCCAGTATTCTAACAGGAATGAGATTGTCAATAATAAGAGTCCTGGAGATGTTCCAGGAAATGTTTTGCTGGTAACTATTGAGGGTGTTGAAGCTGGTGATGTCAGCATCGATGTGATCCATTTGGTAAGAATCTTGTTGCTTTCTCTCCTCTTTATAAAGGAAGTTTTCAAGAAAGCTAGCCTTATAGACTGTTGGAAAATTGTGCCTTATGAAGAGTTGATTATTCATTCAATATTCATTAATAAAATTTTGAACATGCCATGATCCCCAAGAATTATGTATTAACTAGTGGAACTTCCATATCTCCAAAAAAAGAAAGGAACTGCAACTAGTGGACCTCTATGAAGCATATTGTTACGTTGCTTTGTGTTGGCTTAGGTAATGCAATTTATGGTATTTCTGTTCTTTTCATGCTTTAGAACTTATTCTCTAGTATTGCAGATTATTCTTGGGACATTCTTTCAATTTCTTTAATCCTTATTCTTTTCTCTAGCCCAGAACTCTGGTTATGGTTCAGATTTTAGAAATTACTTACTATTGAACTTTCATCCAATATAGTAATATTTAAATGATGGCAGTGTTAACTAAAGTTGATTGAATCACAGATGGTCATTATTTAAGATCTTTTGTTGGAGATTCTGGATATGTAATCATATCGGTCATAAACCTTTCTATGGCTTGCATATACAGGTGTTACTCTGCACTCAGAATCTAGTTCCTTTGTGTTTCTTCTTCAGTGTGTTTTGGGAAACATATTACTGGTTGATATTTTTCTATTACTTTTCTAGACTGATTTACTTTTAATGGGCCGAAACCCGTCTCAGGTGTTTTCAGCCTTTGGTTTTGTGCAAAAGATTGCTACTTTTGAAAAGGCAGCAGGTTTTCAGGTCGGTATATCTGTGCACCAAGGAGTTTGCTTTTTCTAATTTTGGGCGGATGGATTGGTAAAGTATTAATGGGTTTCTATTACACCTTGACAGGCATTGATTCAATTTAGTGATGTTGGGACAGCATCTGCTGCTAGAGAGGCACTGGATGGGAGAAGTATACCAAAGTATGTGTAGTTAGTTGATTGAAAAATACTTGGATCTATTCAACCTGCCTCTCACTTTATGCCTGATCAAGTTAATCCTTCATTTTTATCATAGGTACCTGCTTCCAGAACATGTTAATCATTGTCACTTGCGCATCTCATACTCTGCACACACGGACCTTAATATCAAATTTCAATCTCATCGGAGCAGGTAGTACAGATTTACCTGCACAATTTTTTTGTATTTGTGACTGTTACTTTATATTCTTATTGTTATTGCTATTTGTGCTCGCATTATTCTTTGCCACATTTATCATTATCTGCTTTTGATTTACAGTTGAGGTATTTTCTAATTTCTTATGCTTCTTGTCATCTAGGGTTTAGTGAAGCTCGGCAGCTAAAACACAGATGTGTTTGACATGGCTTCGTAGTAATTTTCTTTATCTCAAAATAGTGGCTAACTGCATTCCTTTCATTTCTCATTTTAGATGACCATGTGAAGATTTTTGTTTTTCTATTGAGTTCGTGGTTTGGAGAATGCTTTTCAATTGTTTGGGATCACAAACTGTGTATTCATTTCAAATATTTGCTTGAATGCTACTTCTTGTTATAACTAGTGTTAAGTTTCGTTGACATTATTGCTGAGTTGTCTGTTAGTCCTTAATGCGTATATGTGGAAGTCAAGTTGATATAAGATTTTATCTTGTTTCAATTGTATTTTTGTTGAAGTCTTGTTTCATTTTTATTTGTCCCGATCCTCTCATTTTCCCTTTATATTTTATTGGATGAATGGCTGAATGTTGGTTTTTATTTGTATCTGAAGTCACTTGTCATGGGTGTCTAGTTAGCAGAAAAACCTGGGACATTAGTTAGATGTATATATTTTTCTTTATAAGAATGTCTGGAGAGTATGTTTATGTGTGTCCTTGGTGACTCATAGTATCTAACCCAAGTTTTCTATTTGTTAGATTTATTTAGCTCTCCGATCTTGGATATTTCCATGTAGGGCTGTGAGGCTAAAATTGTTAGCTATGGTATTTTGTGGGTTATGTTGTACAAAGGGACATTGCTTTAGCTGCAAGACGTTACAATCTGTCCTTGAAAATTCAACTGCAATACTTGCTTTAGCATTGGATTCTGATATTTTAGGCTGTACTGATTGTAAGCTGACATTTCATTCC